AATAATTATGTTTTTTATGCATTCTGTGTGCAAGTCATTTAAGAGATGAGCAATCACAGTATAGATGGACCGGTTTCAGATGTCCCCGGGCTGGAAAATGTAGATTAATATAATAAGAAAAGATGCATACAGGCACTTGTGGAAAGGCAATTCCAACTGTGAGTGCGTTCGTTATAATTTTGAGGTTCACTGTCGCAGAGAGGATGAGTTGTGATTTGAATAGTTTATGAGGCAATGTTTCCTCTGGTAAATGACACATCTCCCATGGTGCTGCAGAGATCACTCAGTGCTTGAAAACGGTCTTTTCCAGGTTTGAGTGGGTTACACTTAAGGCATTGTTAACAGCGTGTGGCCTATTGCAACACTACTTTCTTGCTACTTTCAATGCAACTTGTGAATCATTGTGATCTCAAAGCCCCTGAAAGCTGGGTTGATATCTTGCGTATTTCTCTTTAATAGTAAATATCACTGACTAATAAGCAAAATTAGGGAACTGCAGAGTCAGATGATTCTGCTAAATCCCCATTGGTGCACAGAAATAAGTGACATGTGATGTCACATAGTTTCCAACAGAGCGCCATCTACTTCAAACCAGCGAGAAAAGCACGTAAACCTCTCAGGTACAATAACAGAAATGTTGGGCTCATGAAGGAACCCATGGCTCTTTGAAAATATCTTTCTTCAGGGCCCCCTTCGATGTTAAGTTCAGTTTGAGGGGGGGGGGGATCGGTCACCGATAGAGCGATAGAGAAACAAGGAGAAAAGGGTGAGAAGAGGAGGATAAGCCAAGAGGGTGAGATAAGAAGAAAGGCGGACAGAGGTGGGGTGGAGAGGGAACGGGCCTAACTGAAGAGAGGAGGAGCGGTGAGTAGAGGAACGAGGGTAATGGCCAAAGCCCACAGCTGGCTCACTTGGATTAGTGGGGACTCATAAATAAACCTGTGACAGCGATAAATATAGTATGGCTGGTCATCAGCACATTACCCCACGTCCCCCAAGGACATGGCGACTGCCCAGTGTCTCACACACACACCGTGACTGATGAGCGGCTGATTGAGGATCAACATTACAAAAATCCTCAGAGGAGAAAAAAAACTGAACACTAAAAGGTAAGAGTAGATGAAGATGACCTTTAACCTGCGCTGGATGAAATGAACAGTGAGGGATCGAAGACAGCGGCGATGGAATCTATCACTCACCCGGTGTGGAGATATATTGGTTCTTATATAAGGTGTCAGTGATAAAGCCTATCAGGGTTTAAGGAATGATATGAAGTGCAATGTTTCTGAGCTGCCTCATGGGCCTAAAGGGCAATATCTCGTCCAGAGTGCCTTTGACAGAATTTTAAATTCCTGCTGACATTAGAAAAATAGTTCAAACTTGTAATAACAGAATGATGAAATTCAAACCAAAGGGATTATATGAATACAATCTGTCACTGTTGTAAATGTTCTGCAAACACACACAAGAAAAACTATTTACAACAACTGATTGTCTCCGCGATAGTTTGGGGAGGTTTGTCAAACTGACGTAGTATTTCAGCTCATAATACTCATGTATAGCAGTCAGATAAAGATAAATAAACAAGATAAATAAAGTCTTTATTATCTCAGGTCAGACTAATCCTGAAAACGAATGGTTCCACTCAGAGTCGTATATCACATCATGACACAGAGGGGGTTTTAAATTGCGTTTACTGCTCTGCTAGTGGTGAAGCTGACACGATAGAGACGGGTGCAGATTGGTTTGTAATGAGAGCAGCACACTGTAAATATCTGCCCTCTGATAATACTGAGGAAAAATGAAGCACATATAGCTGCTGATGCATCAATTTAAAGGTCTCAGGTGCAGACTCTCTCGCGCTTTAATTAAATGCTTGTAATGAAATCGGGGCTGAGTTTTAAATACACTATAAGCAGTTTTAGGAAAGTATTAAAAGAAGGATTTGCTCCAAATGTGAAAGGGGCCGATGATGCTGACCAGTGCTTATAGAGGTGTTCCTTTGTTCCTAAACTTTCCCCGCAGCATTGCTGGTTCTCCACTATACTGAGTTCTTCTACTTGGTGCGTTGGCACTTTGCTCGCGCGCATTCTTGCAATGAATTGAAATCGAAGGTATCAAGACGCGCCTTTCAACATGAGACGCAAATTAAACATTTCAAACGCATCTAATCCTCAAAGCCGACCAAGCTCAGAACAAGAATCCTCCAGCGCAGCGTTTGGTTTGCTTGATATGTTAAAGGAAGAAAACAAACACTTCTGAAGTTCATCGGCGCGCATACTTTATAAGTTGAATGACGTGATTGAGTTTATATGCAAACATAATTAAGAGGAGAAACATCGACACCAAAGCGTATCTGCCGTCTGTGGGTCTCTGGATGTTCTCTTCAAAGGGTCGGTTCACTGCAATGACTAATAAACATAATATATATATTTTATATATATTTTCTCAGTGGTTGAGTTATCCGTCTCTTAGATCCCCGCCAACACTATGATCAAAGTAAATGGATTTGTTTTTTTTGTGGTGCTTCTGGCATTGAAAAACCAAATCATTGATTCTTATTCATTGATTTATCTATACTGCCATTTTAAATGCTGGTGTGACCAGGCGTTACAGTTTGTCTCCTAGAAGACACTCACAAGCTCAAACTCTAAATGTCCTGCTCAGTACACATATTGTTTATACCTACATACATATCGATGTAGGTATTGGCCTTCTACAATCCAGTATCCCTCAGGCTATGATCACTAAAGTATATTTTAATATATTAAGCACAGCTGTGTCAGTATGGCTCTGAAAGACTGTGGAGCTGTTGTGTTCTAAACTAAAGGCCAAGTTTAATGTCATCCTGGATACACCACTGTGGGTGTAGTATGTTGACTTTTTAAACTTTTTTTTAACCTTGTGCTTTAGTCTCGTCTATCAGCAGCTGTTTTATTATCGTCCATCATCTTTGTACTTATTGGCCTAGATTAAAACACGGCTCAACTCCGTTTTGATTTCATCCAGCCTTCTGCTTTGGTTAAGGCTACATTTTACACGACGACATGTTCAGCAGTTTTTAATTTGATAGAGCTGAGAGAACAACGCACACAGCAGAACCAGACTCATGGTAAGATTGCTCGACGTCACCTTCTTGTGGCCATAGATGGAGCTGCACTCCTTCAGACATTACAAATACTCAACATTAATGTGCCAACAGTGCATCTGTGCGACCGTGGAGACAGCGACAAAGTGTATAGTCTGATCCCAACGCACATACACCTCCCACAGATGTCAGCCTAACCCTCCCCTAGCTGCATAATTACAAACTTTCATTTAGAAAAATTACAAAATGCATTATTCATCGGGAAATGTACTCATGGCATTCAGCGCGCACACACACACTTTCTAGAACAGCTGAACAGTGAGTCAAGAGGTGTGGTATAATATTTTATTCTCATATTTTATGGAATACAAAGCCTCCAACCCCCCCTCCCCCCCAAAGAGTGTGCACATCAGATCTGGTGGAAACTATCGGGACAAGGAAAAGAACAGGCGAGAGACAAAAGGAAGTCGTTTCATGGGCGTGGAAGTGTGTGACTGCGATTCAATGTGTTCATATAAAAAGTATACCCTCTCATCATGAATGAACCCTTTTAAAAAAAAGCAGCCATATCTGGCTCGAGTCAGTTGATAAAAGGGCTGCAGCCATGACAGCTGAACAGAGAAAAAAAAACAAAAAACTATTTAACAAAACACGAGTTTCTTTTTTGTAAAAATAAAACTTCTTTCCATTGAGCTTTCCCATTATGACTACAGGTTAAGTGTTCAATCATGTGCAACAATAATTTAGCTTTACATGACTGTAGATTCAGTCGCCTTTTCATTCTTTTACAAAGTCTCTCGCTAAGCTGCACAACAGGAATGAAATATTTCCCCAATCTGACTTGGGAGAGAAACAAAATTATAATTACCAAAAAAAAAAAAAAAAAAAAAAAAAAAAAAA